CTCGCGACATTCCTCCAGCAGCGGATAGTTCAGGGTTGTTTGGCGTCCAGTGTGGGAACACGCAAACAGACATTGAAAGAGAGTGCCTCTGACCACCACCATTCATAATTCGAAACAAAAATTTAGACCACAGCGTGTGGTGCAGCAGCCGCTCGAAAACGATTATCCGAGTGCAGCACCCTTGTGGGCAGGAGCTCGCGAAATTCCTCCAAGCAGCGGATAGTTCCGGGTTGTTTGGTGTCCAGTGTGTGAACACGCAAACAGACATTGAAAGAGAGTGCCTCTGACCACCACCATTCATAATTCGAAACAAAAATTTAGACCACAACGTGCGGTGCAGCAGCCGCTCGAAAACGATCCGCCGACTGCAGCACCCTTGTGGGCAGGAGCTCGCGAAATTCCTCCAAGCAGCGGATAGTTCCGGGTTGTTTGGTGTCCAGTGTGTGAACACGCAAACAGACATTGAAAGAGAGTGTCTCTGACCACCACCATTCATAATTCGAAACAAAAACATAGACCACAGCGTGTGGTGCAGCAGCCGCTCGAAAACGATTATCCGAGTGCAGCACCCTTGTGGGCAAGATCTCGCGACATTCCTCCAAGCAGCGGATAGTTCCGGGTTGTTTGGTGTCCAGTGTGTGAACACGCAAACAGACATTGAAAGAGAGTGTCTCTGACCACCACCATTCATAATTCGAAACAAAAATTTAGACCACAGCGTGTGGTGCAGCAGCCGCTCGAAAACGATTATCCGAGTGCAGCACCGTTGTGGGCAGGAGCTCGCGAAATTCCTCCAAGCAGCGGATAGTTCAGGGTTGTTTGGTGTCCAGTGTGTGAACACGCAAACAGACATTGAAAGAGAGTGTCTCTGACCACCACCATTCATAATTCGAAACAAAAATTTAGACCACAGCGTGTGGTGCAGCAGCCGCCCGAAAACGATTATCCGACTGCAGCACCGTTGTGGGCAGGAGCTCGCGAAATTCCTCCAAGCAGCGGATAGTTCCGGGTTGTTTGGTGTCCAGTGTGTGAACACGCAAACAGACATTGAAAGAGAGTGTCTCTGACTCCCACCATTCATAATTCGAAACAAAAATTTGGGCCACAACGTGTGGTGCAGCAGCCGCTCGAAAACGATCCGCCGACTGCAGCACCCTTGTGATCCGCAGGGCGCGTGCAGGCCTGTCGAAGAGTGGGCAGGCGTCGCATCGCGCCTGTGCGTAGTGCCGCCACTCGGGGACCGATGTCCGGGTCAACACCAGGAACAGAGTCCTCGCCACAAGGACAAGCGCCTGTCACGCGGTGTGCGCGCCTTCCTTTTCCTCCTGGGCATCCTTCCATTATAACCTCTTGACGGCGGTAAGGAAGCCCACGTGCCGGGCAGTGACGCAGTCCTGCGGGAGAGATCGTGCCATGACGGTGTCCGCGTTCGCTGTCACGCTGCGTGGGATTCCGCAGTGTCATGGGGAAATGTGGATTCAGCCGTGTGACCTCAATCCACCAGTGAAAGCGGCATGATGCAAATCTCTTCGGTGACGCCGTTGTCGTGCACCGCCAGTGGGCCAAAGAGGAGCGCCTCCATCGCCGAGAGGGAGTCTGTGGCGGCAGGAACTCTTGTGGGCGATTGGGATGCTGCTGCCAGGCGGGGAACTGGAAGTGTCCGAGGCCATGCTCAGTGGCAGGACACTCCGCTCGGCAGGAGCATGCAAGGCTGTCAGCAGCTGTGCGGTGAGGTCCACAGGGAGCTCCGCTGTCCGGGGAGTAAAGTGGCAGTGCAGCTGATCCAGATACACGGTCCCAGAGAGGCGCACGCCGCTTCAACGGCCGATCGTCTGACACAGTCCAGGGAGTCGTTGGCGTGCCGTGGCCGGAAGACGCCCACCTCGTTGCGGCTCACAGTGTCGCAGACAACAATGCGGTGCTCAGCATGTGGGGCGCGGATGTGGTGCGGGAAGATCCCCATGTGGCGACAGACGCGTCGCAGTCCGTTGAAGACGGCATCTCCCGGCAGCGGAATGGTCGTCGCCGCCTTCCCAAGTATTGACGAAGGTGTGGTTTCCGAGCATACTGCGCCACGCACTTCCTCAATATACCAAAGAAATGTGAGGCGTTCGTGCTGTGTGGGTGCGCGGAACCCAATGATCCTCCGCAGCGGTGCTTGACTGGCGGCCAGGTGGACAGAAGCATCCTTCGTTGATGCGCGTGGGCCAAGAGATGCCGTGCGACTGCCTCGCCGTCGTGGTGCAACGCACTGTGGACGCACCCAACCAGAAGAGACCGCATGGTGTTGCTGGGACGCACCAGCTCCTGCATCCAGCCGCAGCTGACAGCAAAGGAGCACGGTATGCCCTGCAGCGGCGGTGACGTGCAAACCAAAATTGAGGTGTCGATCAATCGCATTGCCGAGCAGGCGCACAGGGTGGAACTTGACGCGCTGGTTCCCATTACCCAGGCGATGGTCGGCCGTGTCCTCGTCAGACTGTCGGTGTGAGGCGATGCAGAACAGAGCGGCCCCGCTCCTGTCGGCGTCGATACTCAGGCTGTGCTCGGCAGCACATGTGGCCACAAGCGACAGAGCAAATGGCATTGCCGCAGCACAGGCACGGCTGTCCGCACACAAGGCAACAAGCGTGCGGTCGTCAGCGTGAATGAACGCTGACGCAAAGTGAATGCTGTCCAGGCGGCGCAGCAGACCATCCACGAGGTGGAGGAAAAGCTGCGGTCCCACCGCGCTGCATTCGGCTGCCACGGCTGAAACAAGCTGCTGTCGGGAATATTGCTCGCGAGCACTCACCCCAACGCAGCCGCCTCGCAGGTGATTGCGCCACCAGCGTTGGGCGCGACGGCACAGGCGTGGGAGCCCGCCGAGCACGGCCAGCACTCGCCCATCGCCAACGGCGTCGAACGCAGTCGAGATGCCGATCGGGACGGCGAGAGAGCGGTGACGGCGACGGTGCAGCGCGGGACGCCACCACGGCGACGCTCGCACTCCACAGCGAAGCGCCCGCTCAGCCCTCGTGCCGTTTTGTCACGCACAAGCGTCACCAACTCCGAGGCCGTGCGTCGTGGCGTGGATACGGACTGACGTCGGTGGTGTGCCGGCAGTGCTCACAGGCGGCGGTGAACCAGTCCATAGCTCACACCTAGCAGGACAGAGAGCAGCGGGATGGGTCGGCAACTCTCCGTGCGGATGCGTTTCTCCCGTGTCTGCGGATGGGAGTGGTGTCCCCATTTCCCAGCAACTTCGCAGGCTGCCGTCAGAGAGGAAGGTGTTGATCATCGTTCTGTGCGAGCAGCGGGGCAGCGGGTACAAGATGGCGCAGAAACACAATCAATGCACCGCCGGGGCCACGCCACGCAAAGCGTCGCGGGGGGCCAATTCAAGCGCACACGGCGTGAAGGGCCAATTCACATTCCAGTCACCAGGGGGCACGCAAGCACAAACTGTGCACACAACGGCGGAGATCGCAGCACGTGCGACTCAGACACTGTGGCGGACGAGCGGGTTGCCCGCTGCAGAGACAGAGCACAGACGCAGTCCCAAGAGTACCGCAGCACAGCCGATCCCAGAGGGCGGAGACATGGTGCCGCCATGCCTCGGAGCATCACAGGCTTGGGATCGAGAGGGCACCAAGATGTTTCGCACGGACCTCCAGCAGCACGGAGAAGCTACCGCGGAGGACATGATTGCGTTCCTCCCGTTTGCGGAGAGCTTCAGCTCAGGGCAAGCTGCCTCCTGGTGAGGCTGCTTGCGCGTTGCATGCTGGCTCAAAAACAGACTCGGCATGCTCCATTCCGTCCGTCGTGATTCCTTTGCTGCATTCACGGCTGCCGCGCGAAATGGTGCCTCAGTGCGTCTCCAACCATGTGGTCACAGTAACCAGAGACGTTCCACACGCCGAGGTAGAAGCATCACAGTCAGCTTCACGCAGGGCAAGGGCGGCATGTTCCGTCGCGGCAGCAAGCCTGCCAGTCGCGGGATGCCGTCCTCCGTCCCTGCAGTGGATAGCAGAGGGTGGTCCGACTCCATGTAAACGGGTGGATGTCCAGTGGGAGGCACACAGTGCGCGTTGCGCAGTCACGTCGGGAAACGAGACACTGCGGCCGCTGATCCACGTTGCCTGTGCCGGGTCGTCGGGCAGCTCACACTCCATGCCGCTTGGGGTGGCGGCGAGGTCCTCTCCTGCCGTCGTGAGTGGTGAGCGACCGTCCCACAGTTCATGGTGTGAATTCGGGTAGCCCGCAATAGGCGCTGCAGGACCAAGGCGAATGGTGCTCGCAAAGTGAGCAGCGTGAGCAATTGCCATTGCCGTGGTAAGGTTGCAGAGGTTCACCACTTACATGCTGGGGCTGGCCGGTGGGCGCACGCGGAAGGCGTGTTCTCCAGGCAGTTGGTTTCTGCAGCGACGGGCGCTCGCACGGCAAGGTGTGGCACACCAAGATGGCCACGCCCACTGCAGGCCTGGTGGAAGTCACTGCAGCCAATGAGCCTTGTCGCTGGGACGCTCTGTTGCCTGCGCTCCAGCAGAACAACCATGCCGGGCTGTTGCTGCGCCAGTCGAGCAGCAAGGGCAATCCTGAAGGGCCTGAAGTTCTGAGCTGCCACACAATTACGAGGCCATCCTCATCGGGGCTGCGGCTCCTGCGGACACCACCGCAGCGGGTGATGCCGACGTAGTGACCGCACTGAAACAACTGTGCGGTTCTGTCAGTAGAGCTGCAGGCAAACCGCCTCGCCGCTCCACAACCGACAGAACATGGGAACTTCTCGAGGGGTGGCGCCGTCGTGGTCCCCATCACGCTCGCACCACTGCCCTTCTGCAATCACACCGACAGAAAAACAAGGAAGTGTGTGTGGATGTGTGTGCCGAGAAAGCAGCGACTGTCATCGCCAGAGGAGACCATTGTGGCAGCGCCCGTCACGCGTCAGCACACACCGAGCAACGCACGCACCCGGCAGTGCAAATACAACGAGGAGAAGAATGACCCCAAGAGCAGGCAACACCTTCACGCATGACGGACATCGTGCAGCCGCGTCAGCTGGCCTCCAGCACAATGCAAAAGGCGTCCCACATACATCCATCCAATGGCACCGCAATTCCCACCGCAGGCACACACGCAGCGACCTCGCCATGTCGGCACGGAATGCAAGCCAACGTCCCGCCGTCGCCAAGAGCATCCCTGCAGAGAACTGTGCAAATAATTTTGTGCGTGCTGGAGAAGCAGAAAAGAAGAGAAGCACAGGAAGACACATCAGCACAGCAAGAGGCACAGCTGGACGGCAGCGATACATGCGGCACGGCCCAAACTCAACAATCACACACAGTGGCGGCACACACCCATCGAATAAAAGAAAAAAACAAAACAAAAACAAAAGAAAAACACGGCGGCAGGGTGTGGCTGTGTGCGTGGCGCTGCGGGTGTCTGCCCGCCCTGGCCGCAAAGAAACAAAAAAAGAGGGAAGAAATGTGTGCTCCGCCCCACAGGCCCTCGTCGCACGCCCACACGTCACGGCTCCCTCAGCGCGCCGTTCGTCGCGGCCCCTCCTCATGCGTGCAGCAGGCGAGGCGCACAGGGCCGTCGTCGTGAGCGTGTCGGTGGGTGTGCGAGTGGAGCAGTTGGGCGGGAACACACGGCACCCCTCACTGGAAGAGTACAGCAGAAACAAAGAGGGAAGAGTAGAAAAGAAAAAGCGTCCATAGTGATTGCCCCCAAAAGCAAAAAAGAGAAGAGATGGGGGAGTAAAAGGTTAGGAAACAATAGAAAAAATTAAGGAAAACCATTAAAAAATGGAAAAAACTCACAACGCCCCGAAGGAAGTAAAAAACAAGGAAAATAAGCACAAAAAACAGGTAACAACAAAACAACAACAGAGAAAAAAAAGAAAGTAAAAAAAAAGTAGAAAAACAAAAAACAAAACACAAGAAGCTGCAAAGAATGGCGCCAGAGTGCATGCATTCTCACACAAAAATGCTTTCACGCAAACAGTTGTATGCGTGTCGTGCATACGAGTGTGTCTGGGATGCGTGCCACGTGACGGATACGGAGGCAGAATAATGGAGCACACAGCAGCGCAGCAGAAGCAAATGAAGAGAGCACACAATCATCATTTTCTTTTAGTTATTACGCAATAAAACAAAATAAGCGCGCAAATCCCTGTGATTGAGTGCTGGCAATTATAGCACGCATTCACTTCTTCAGCCCAGTGTCCCGTACGTGAGCGCAGCCAGAACAAGCAGCAGCCGGGCATGCGGATGGGTGTCATGGAAGCAGGCGTCAGTTCCCACACTGTTCTCCAGCGCGTTCTTTGGGGGCGCAGAGGAAAGGGGAGCCGGCATGCTTGCCGCCGTAGGATTTACTTCGCTGGTGGAAGCAGTGTCGGTGGTGTTGGCGGCGGTGTCCTCTTCAGCGCCTTCCGCTGCATCCCCGTCCTCGTCGGTCTGGGACAACTGAGTCGGTGGCGCAGCAGCAGTCTCTTCCTGCACCTTCACTGGAGGGTCATGGGAGGAATGGCCGCCGCCTTCTGTAGGCTCCGGATCTGGTATGGATTCGGATGCAGGAGAAGCAGCAGAGGCAGAATGTGAAGGGCCTTGAAGCTCACCAGCGGGGGCGGAATCCGATGCTTGCGAGGCCGCAGCGCCAGCAGCAGAGTTAGCACCAGCGCCGCCTGGAGTTGCGGGTGGAGGAAGCGGAGGGTCACCGGGAGCCTTGTGTTCCTGAGACCCCGGAGTACCTGCTGCAGGACGTGTAGCCGGAACACCCACACCAACGCCGCCCGGAGCTCCAGCCAGTGAAGGGGCACCAGCGGAATCCGCAGCGTCAGCAGGAGATTCAGAATCCGCTCTGGATGATTTTTCACGAGAAATCTTGTCGTCTGGAGGGCTCGGAGGTCCTTCCGGAGGTTTGGCCGGAACATTTGCAACGGTGACCGCCTTCGACTCCACTTTACGTTCCCACCAATCCTTCACCGCGCTTGGAGTGGGCGATGTAACGTTGATTGTGAAGACGCCATCCTTCGCACCTCCGTTGATACGCCTCCGAACATCCTCGGGCGCACAGTTTCCGTCGCCCATGCCGCAAATCATCAGCCCAAAACCAAAAGCTGGATCTGAGCAGTCATACCACAATGACTTCCCAGAGAGTTGTCAGCGCGCAACTTTGCCACCAACATCCGCACACACTGCATTGACCGGCAGCACCTCCTGCTCTTGCTCCTCCTCCTCCACGGCAAACACGCACGAGCAGCACAGCAGTGTAAACGCCAACAGGACACAAAACACACAGCGCATCGTCAAAACTTTCGTTGTTGAATAGCGTGGATTCGATCTGCAAGAGAATGAGAAAGGAATTAGAGAGAGACAGCAGCTACACCACGCACAGCCACCGCATGGTAATAAATGGTAGCAGCCAGAAGAAGTGCACACCAAAAAAGGCAAGTGGAATCATTACAACCGCAGAACTCGCATGCCGCCACGCAAAACAAAACTTAAAAGGTGGAAAAAACAAAAAAAAGGTAAAAACAAATAAGTTGAGAGTCCAACAGAACTCCAGAGGAGGAATATAAAAAATCAATCGGACAGAAATTCTATTTCATGTGCTAAGCGGCACAAGAAAACCGTGTGTGTCTGTGTATCCGTAATAACTTCACCAAGAAAAAAAAACAAATTAAAACAAAGATCTTGCTGCTCCACCACCCACACAACATCCCTCACATTTCATGCGGCATCCGACCTGTTCTTCCAATCCTCGTTTCGCGTAGTCCGTGGAACGCACAGCCGCAGGGCCGGCACCGAATGTGGGCAAAAACAAAAGCAATCAAAAAAGAGGGGGAAACACTTCGCTCATTACAGTGTGCAGCAACCGAACATTAGGCAAAGAAAAAACAACAGTACTTATTACTCCAGCTGAACTACAGTGAAAAAAGAACATTACGAAGTAAAGAAATTGAAGAAATAGAAACCGACAGTAAAAGCACAGGCAATGCGGCGTGTATTCTTCGTGAGGAGTCGCTAATCCACACTCTGTGGCTCAGAAGACTGCCACGACACAAATACAATCCCAGAGGAAGCAGCGGCACACAAGACACGCACACACGCACGGTGCTGTTGCCGCCGAAATCACGCAGTGTCAATTTCACGTCGTTGGGAGAGGCGAGGCGGTCGTCGGGACTCACGCCGCACCACACTCTGCGAGGTTACTTTTTTGGTGGGATTCGTTTCCAGGGCGTCGTGCCCATTCATTTCTCTTCTGTAATATCCCCAGCAACGTGCTCTCTGACGCTGTCAACCACTCTGATCTTCTCGGGTGGTGTCGGAGCTGCTTCTCTCGTCGGAACGGGGACCCTGTCCTTGAGTGCACGTATCGCAGTGGAATTCAGTGGGCGGTTGTACAGAAAGACGTCCGTCAGCGTCACATGAGATTCGTGTCCACCGCACGCGTCAAAGCGAACCCTCAGGTGGCCTCTCGCCTGTCAACAGCGCTTCTTCCTGCCTCAGAAACTCACCATCAACGTGCACAGAGGTCTTGTTGCCTTGCAGCACGAGTGCCACTTGGCATTCTTTCCTCGGCTCCCAACGGCCGCTCTGTGTTGTTGTCTTGCCTTTGAGCCCCGTCCCCACTTCTTATTATGGCTGCACGACAGTCCCACAGTATGATTGGACGCAGTGTCCGCCAGCACCGCAGTCAGTAGAGGAGTGTTCCCACTCGGTGCCACCTCGATGGTCACCGACGCCACAAGTGTGAAGTTGTGGCTCAAAGATACATGACGCACATTATTACCCTGAGTGTTCACAGGCCATATTGCCCTGGACTCAAATCCCGTCACTTGTAACCCATCGTTGTCCTTCACTGCATTCCTCATCGTCGCATTCAGACAAAGGTACTCGTCGTTCCACGTGTCATCGCTGGCCGCATCGGACAAAACTGCCACCAGACCCGCCGTGGGTGTAGACAAGCTGGAGAAGAAGGCGTCCTTTTGCGCCCAAGTACTGAGGACGGACTTGATTGTACTCAGTTCCTCCGTCAGGCGGGAAAGCGAAATGGCACTGCCTTCATCTTTTTCCCTCTGTTGTAAAAGATGCAAGTTGCCATCCGAGTACAGCAGGCTGCTGGCGAACAACCAATTCATACCATCCTCCATGGCAACCGGCCCAACACAAAACGAGCGGTTGCTGTCCGTGACCCAAAGGTGGACCGCATTGGCCTCATTCTCCCCCGAGAAGTCTCCTCTCTGTGTGTACAGCATGACCTTCCTGCCCCCAATGGTCGCGGTGATGAGGGCATCCACATGCGAGCTCAGATCCAAAATGACTTTCGATTGTGAATTGGTCCACACGCCTGAGAGTGTCCCAAGTGCCTCCGTCCACGCTGTCCCCACGTCACACGACTCCTACACACTCTGGCCATTCCCGCAGTCAACGATCATGAGAAGTGATCCCTCCCATCCGGTGACGCGGGAGGTTTCGCATTCCGCAAGGGAAATGTCCCCAAAGAGCGTCCAGATACTGCCGTTGTCCGTCGAGTAAATGATCGTGGAGCAAACGTCTGCTGCCTCATCCTTCGTCATCAGAGGAAACACAAGCGTGCCATCCTCCATCACTACACCTGCGCCACCAGAAGCAATGAACTTTGTCCAGTCACCTTCGTGAGAAGCAGAAGAGATCAGCTTCGAGAGTGGTTTGGGGTCGCCCCATTCGACCCATCCACTCTGCTTGCCACCCGTGGGATTCGTGACATCACCCACAAACAGCTTCAGCTCCAAGCCGCCCTCTCTCCAGCACCCACCTTCGTAGAACACATCAGAGCCTCCCGCAAGAGGAAACACTCCGTGGTCCCTCGTGATTGTTGTCGGTTGGCCAAAAACAACCAAACTCTGTTCTTTTGCCTCCGCTGTACCAAGCACAGTGTCTGCGCTCCATGTATCTTTTATTGGCCTCACCAACAACGGTGGACCAATTCCACGCAGAGACGATTTACACCGCAACCACATCAGAAGAAAAGGGCCTAATTAATGGAGCACCTTGACACTCGGCATCCATGTGACCTTCGGCGAAAGCAGCAATTACTCCACCAGCACTGACGAGAGAGAGCGACGCAAATGAATCCCTCGTCGTAACTGGAACAGTCCCATCTGTCGGCTGCACCAGCATCGTCTGCGGCACAAATAGATCGACTCCCTGCAGCTTATAAATATTTATTAAATCACTCTTCCCATTATTCCCTCCAGCGGCCGCAGCTCCACAGGTACCGCAGCACATCATCACGACGAGGAGGAGCAGCACCGCAGAGTAGAAGAGATGCCGGGACATGTTGGGCCTCTGCGGCTCACTCTCTCTTCCTTCCCTCCTCCTTCCGCTGGATCCGGTCATGCGGCGACGGTTGTGTGTGCGGGGTGCCTTCACTGCAGCAACACGTGAGAGCATATAAATATGTGCGTGTGTGGGCGGTGTGTGTGCTGTTGGTCCTTTCAGTGCCTTCGAATTTCACAGTAGCGTTTAGCGTGTTTGCTTTCCTTCCTAGCGTGTGTCTGTGTTCAACAAGTGGAGGAGAAAAAAGCGGCAATACATCAGACACGTCAGTGGGGAGCAGAGCAGAGCACCCATGCGGAGAGCGGGACACAAGAGAATCCGGAAGCTACAGCGCGGAGCAACATCGCTCTCACACACACACGCACACACACAAATCACAGTGCTGCCAGACCGCGCGTGGGAGGATTCGGTCCTCCACACAAAAAACGCGCACACCGCCCGCATTCACCCACAATGGGCGAGGAAAAGAAACACACCGCCGCCGCCTCCAGTTCAGTCTCGCGGCCAACGGGATACGGCCACAGCCCCGCAGCCAACACACAACGCACAGCGAGCGAACAATCACCCACTCCAGTTACACGTGGAAGCGGATCCTTATTCATCCATGACGCGGTGCCCCACTCCGCACGGTTACACGGGGTGCACGATTTCATCAATACAACTTATTCTTTGTTCATCCCTTAAAGATGCTTCTGTTATTGGTGGGTCTTGGAACACGATAGAATAAAATGGAAAATGCAGCAACACCATAGCACCGCCAGCCACAATGGTTTTCTCATACCGGGGCAATTCCACGATTATGCCTCTTATGCACACACAATTAACATGCTTTATGAAAATCACCCAATGTTCCTTACCAGAAAAAAAACAACCCCACTCCCTCCCTAATTTCTTCGGTCACTGTTATGTTCGATAGAGCTGGGCATTTTTGGAATCTGTGTGGTATACTGCCGTCTGGTGCTGGTGCACCCGCACCGTAGTCACACAATTATCCAAAAATAAATCCCACAATATTTTTTTACCAGAAATCAAAACTACCCCCTTCATTCCCTAATTCTTTCTCCTGTTTCGTTCTTCCCCACCTCAGAGAGCTTCGTCTCTTCTGGCGTCAGCGGATGATACCGCTGCTATGTACTGACGCACCTTTTCGTTCCAGAACGCCGCAATCTCTCGGTTTTCATCGTCGCCCACATTATTGGGATTGACGACATCACATCTCTGCCAGCCAGTCATCGGCGTGCTGGCTGCGTGCTGCACATAAATAATCTCCCACGACATGTCTCGGGATAACTCCTCCCAACCCTCAAAATATGCCGCCAGGCACTCAGTGAACTGCCTCACAGTGCTGGTATTCGTGTGGTGCTCACTTGCCGTAGTCATCCGCAGCCCAACCAGCGTCTTCGGATTTGTGTCCACAAAGAAAAAGCCGTCCACCAGCGGAAAGTTTTGTACTTTCGGCTCGTACAGCACCCAGTGGTCCATAGCAACCGGATTGGAAAGGCGTTCGGGCGGCGGTAGAACCTCTTTTCTGGTGAAGCTCGTGTCTGAGTGCTCTTTCAGCGCACAGTTGTGTGGCTCACCTCGTCCTGGTGGCCTCAGTTCCTCAATTTTAGGTCTTATCGCACGCAGGAAATCCTCATTCAAAAATGCAGATACGGCATACTTTTCAATAAGATATGGTGGGGCATAATCCCAGAACCTCAAAACAAGCAAAATAAAATCGGACTGCTTCATTTCATTTTCCAGCCGGGACAATATTTCACGTTCGAGGTGGGGAG